TCAACTGCATTAACACCTACTCCTGCCTTTTATCTACTTTTCATCTCTGGTTAAACAGCCTTCACACAGTAACTGTTAATACTCTTCATCTGTGGATTATCAGGCTTTAAAAACTACGTTTTTTAAAATCCAAGTGAGTTTAGGGTTTGAGCCTTCAACAATGGCACAATGGTTTTGATTTTTCTGATGGTAGATTACAAAATATAGCGCACATGCCAATGAGATTTACTGAAAATTACCTGCTGTTGTTGTGTTCCCCTCGTGTGACAACATCCAGTCCCTTTCAGAGCCACTTAACTAGCACAGAAAAGGGTGAATGGCATTAATAAAGTTATTCTAAAGGGGATTTTCCTTACTGCAACACAAATGTTGGACAATGCTCTTCAAAATACCTCAACAGTACAAGTTTAAAAATGAGCCTTGATCTTATTTGAAAAAAAAGGAAGAAGAAGAACAGGGATAAATACAGGAAAATACAAAAACACAATAAAAATAAGTCACATTTTCAACAGAATTACTATTGTATTTCATAGCACCTTGGTGAGTAAAGACTGCCGTTTGTTTCCTCTGCTTTGGCTAAAATATATAGCTTAGCTTCTAAAAATGTACAAATATATTTTATTTTTACATGTTTAATGTTGAACTATGACAAAATAAACTGCGATAGACCTATTCTTGATTGCCTTTTATATCAATAACCAGCGCAATGATTTTTGAAAACAATGACTATTAGTGTCTGGGAGTTTAGGACAAACTGTGAAACAGAGACTTACTTAAGCATAAGGTGGTGGGTATAAATCCTCTGCTGCCATAAATATTACATTTGGTTACATTTAAATTAAATTATACAGCTGAACTGTAAATTTTGAAATATATCATTCAATGGGTAAAAAAAGAGCCAAACCAAAAAAACATGTCATGTTACCTCAGTTAACTTGTGTCCTTGCTTTGCCTCTGCATTAATATGTCAGTACACACACAGTAGTAAACTTAGCATTGAATCATTAACTGTAGGAAATAGATAATTAAAAGTTCAAAAGAGATCTAGGTTAAACTCACAGAGTGAACATTATACCCTATAAAAGGCAACTTAAAAGGCAAGAGGCAGAGGACACAGTTTATGAATAGTCCGGTGAGCTTGCTACTGCCCCAAGGATCAGCCACGCGTGTCCGCTGAAGACAAGCTCACTGGAGTTGGTCATTGAAAACATTTACATTTCAAATATTCTCCTAAATATTTAGACAGATGTGTGAGTTAGCTAGTGACCTAGGAAATCAGGGTGGGACTCATTTCAGGCATTTAAGCCACTGTAACAGCAGGAGTTTAATTTGGCCAATTATTTCCAGGTATGTTGATTCAGTCCTTGTCAGCCATCAATTTAGCTTAGCATTTCTGAACCAAGTACAGTACCAGTGCATAAAATTATTCTAGTGTTCTCTAGACTTTGTTTAAAATAACAACATTCACTTTATTCACATGAGGTGCAACTTAAAATCTTGTTTGATGAAGCGACTGATGCTGCACTACTGCTGCAGTACTGATGGAAAATTTAGAAGTCTTGCTTTCTACACTTTTCCTCCACATTACTTATGCGGTATCATAAATAATATGCTACGACAAGCTTACTTCCACAGCATTTTTTAGAGTTTTAACTGAAGCTAAGTTGAGACTTCACATATAAAACTTTTTAAAAATGCCACTCAGTCTTACCAGGCAGCACCCGGTGGTCAAAAAGAAACCAGAGCAAGAATGACAGAAATAAGTGAAATGAAAATAACAATGGAAAAGCCCACATCTAACTAAATGACACAGTGGCTCCTGGTTGGAAACCTGATTCCAGGAAGAACATGTCACAGGTGTAATAGTAATAATCCTCTAACAGACATTTTGTGACAATATGCTTAGAAAATAAATGACTTGCAACTGAATGAACTATTTGAATTTTGAAATTTAACTTGAAAATGTAATAAAAATTTGTGTATGGACTCTGTGTTATGAGATTTTTGTGCAAATATTTAAGAAGTAGATTTCTAATACTGCAGCACCACATTCACATTTGAGTAATCTACATGTAAAGTAGCCCTGAAGGTTTACTGTATGTATTTTCCCCAGAAAAAGCAATGATAAAAATAGCCTAATCCTTCTTGCAGCCTTAAACACAGAATGAAATAATTAATCATTAATTGTGACTTAAAACTAGTTTTATAGCTCTGACATCACCTGAACTCAAAACATGTGCTGCTGCCTCTTTAAGTCACATCTGCATTTATTTAGGGAAAATGCTTTACAGAGATAAATTCTTTTTGAGCAATAAAGGATGAATCTCTTGTGTTTTCTTTGACCTTGTGAGCAAGCTACAAAAAGTAGAGCAATCGATCGCTACTCTCTGAAGATACTGCAATATTGTATTTTTGGAATGAACAGTGAAAAAAATAGAAGTCATGCCAGATGAACAGCTGTATTGAGATAAACCGTCACCCCATATGCTGAGGCAAAACAATCTCTGCACATTATGGAGACTGAAGATGAAAAAATACACTTAATCAGCTAACATTGATATTACTTCTGGCAATTAGGAGCATGCTGGTAATGATATGAGTTTTCAGCTGTAAATAATTATGCTGCCTGCGGGCCATACTTTAATTCACGGCTGTATCTATAAACAATAATCAAACCAACAGCAGCAGGCTAAAAGTTAGAGATTTGTGGTTTGCAGAGCTGCAATAGAGGAGCAGCTTATTGGAGCCCTGTGGTGATGCCAGTAGTCAGAGTCACCTTCAGGTACTCGCTCATCTGTGCAAAACTGCGCTAATGCACGGCTCTGCTGATCAGCCTGGATGTGTCAATGTGCACACAGGTGCATAAGGAACAGATGAACTCATATCTTAAAACCTATACATAGTAGAAATGTGCAACCCTGTATTAAATATAAATCTCTTTTTGTAATGGCACACTTTTTTTTTAATTAAGCTTTGTGTATCTATTTTGTGCAACTGCTTTTTAGTATTTATCAAAATAACACTATGCAAGTTCCACATGTTGCAAGTTGTGGCAAAATAAAAACCTAACAAGTTTAGCATGCATGTTTGCTGTGCTGCTGCTGGAGTATACACAATAACAACTTAAAAAGAGCAAATTAAGAAAAAATATATAATATAAGAGTCAGACTTGACAGCTAACTTTTATTCACTGTCAGACAGGAAGCAGCAGGCTACTGTTGTGTAAAGACTAAGATGAAGTGCATAATTAAGGAAACATATGAAAGCCAGGCATCGGGCCCGAGATTAATTAGGTGTGTGTCAATACCCTCATCAATATCCGATTAGCTAATGATACATGGCCCAATGAGGTCTATTGATCAGCTGTAAGTCTACTATGTTAATAGGTTGAAGCCGACACTGAGTGGGAAAGCTGACAAAAAACTGAGGAGAAGTCCGACGCATACAGGATGCAGGGTCCTAAACACAGCAAAATCAGATGTGTCCCCTCAGTCATAAGTAGTCAGATCACATTTGTGTAATGTGCTCTCAAGGGATTCCAGTGATTGCTGTGACCACAACTGAACTTCATCAGCTTTGCTAGAATTCCCATCCTTTTAGTGATAATTAAAAATGACCCCAAAGGACCCCCCCCCAAAATGTAAAAAAAAAAAAAAGACTCAATCTAGTTTAAATGGTAGTGGATGGACTGGACAACATCATATGTTAGCCTCTTTATGATAATGGCTGTAATGATAATAATGAACACTTGGATGAAGGATGAACAATCCCCTGTCCTGGACTTGAATCCCTATACAGGTTAATTAGGTAAGATAACATCATTAGCCACTCTCATGCCTGAACAGGGAATTAATTGGATATGATGGAGATTTAGGTCTATATTTAATCACATAAATGATCGATGACAGCTTAGCCAGGAAATGGGAGGTCCAAATCAGTGGGCATCTTATTTTGATCAAATTTAACCAGTTTAATGAGCTGAGTGGTTTAAGTGGTTTGTATTAAGGGTCCTGTAAATATTCCCTTTTCATGTATTTTACTGATGTACATTAATTATATAATACTGTGCCTTGTTAACTTCTGATTTCAGCATTGTGGGATAATCAAGAAAACACTGTTACATGAACTTGACTGATCAGAACACAGACAGTTTGAAGCAGCAATTGCAAATTTTAGATAAAACAAAATACTGGCTCCATATTCACAAAAACAAATGAGGACTAGTAATGGCTGATACACATGAACAATCTATCTCCTCAGTTGAAAAGGCCACCAATGGCCTAATGACTTTGCAGTCATGAATATACCTGACTGTATGTTCTAAGAAAAGCATTAGCTGTAGTTCCTGATCTGTTCTAAGAGGACATTAGTATTACACCTTATACCAAACCTGAGCAGACTAATCCTCTGCGTGCTGCACATGTATTCTTCACAGCAGCTGTTAAGCTCGTTGGGTTGTTGTTTGGCTGAGAAATACGTTTATCTAAAGTTTGATCTAAATAATGCATCGGGGAAACTTCTATGGGAATTGTCATATACTGCATAATGGATGTTTACAAAACAGTGTGGGTACCTTCAGTTTGTAATCAGCATGGAAAGGTGACATACAGTATCAACCTGTTTTACCAGTAATTTCTCTGTTCTGGTGAAACAATAAGTGAACGCCTCTTTATGGGAGCACCATGCCCCACTCCACATTAATAATGAAACATCACTCAAAACACAAACAGTAATGCCATCTGGTAGATGAGACTGTCACACAGATGGAACTTTATCTTGGCACAACTCAACGGTTTTGGAAATAGCATGTTGTCATGGTTGCTTAATTTAATTTATAACATATATGCAGCAGATAGTAGAAACCTGAGATCTGTGATTATACAATTTAAAGTTGTATAATTTAACCCAGACTTTCTCTTGCAGGTCTACTCCTTTCAGTGAGTGAAAGGGAACATGAGTCAGTTACCTGAGACTGTGTGTATGTACGTGTGTGTTGTTAGAGACTGCGTCATGATCACCTTGACGACTGTGGTATAGCTGACCATGGAGAGGAAGAAGTTGGGCCTCACAAGGTAACATACCTCTTAATCCTAATCCATAACAATACATATGTATACAGTTACTGATATATAATAGTTAGTAGTTATTTGATACTAGTTATTTGCAATAGATTTGGTTAATAATCCAGTAAGACCAAATGACATTTTAGTGAAACTTGCACTTAGAAATGGATGATGGAAATTTACCTGAGCAAGAGCATTTTGAAAAACTCATGTACTGATAATTCCCATAAATACAATATAGTACTTGGATGAATTCACTAAAATATACCCCATAACTCACTTCAGATATATATTTGTGCCTTTGTAGGCACACTTCAAAGTGCAAAGAGTACATATGTATGCAAAATGTCTCCATTGCCCAGTGATGAAAAATATTCTGTCCTTTCTCTGCCCTTACTGTCAGCTGTGCAAATGCTATGTCTTGAGGGAGAACGGCTGTTGTCAAACACTAAGAAAAGGCCTCTGTCCACAAGTAAATAAAATATTCTTTGGTGCACAATGCCCTGTCCCTCTGTGACTATTGAATTACATCCCTTATCCATGTTTGTGGGAGGAAAAAAGAAGAATGTCAGGAGAAGATTTCAGGCTGCGCTATGCCATAGAAAAGGGGAAGTGCCTTGTCTGGTGCAACACAGACCCCACTGTCATTCTGGATTAAGGGCTGATTGAGCTTGGTTGACTAGATGACAGAGGAGATGGTCAATCTCAGGGCAGGAAAGGGAGTTGTAAAACAAGGTTGCAGGTCAAATAAAGTATCATGGCATTTAGGTGGCAATGTACACACTTGCTTTCAGTGCGTTAGAACTATTGTGCAGTTTAAGCTGTAGGTGGGTTGTTTTTATTCATCCTCTATGTTTGCACCAGCACCGACTGTATACTTCACTATTTAACACTAAAAGGTTCTGTGGGTTTTTACGGTCTGACAGATGGCCAGGAAGCCACTGATTAAACGAGACATTAAAAAATGTTATAATTCTGAAAAATGTCAAACTGTTTTATGGGGAAAGAACATCTAGAAAAAATAATGGAAAGGCATCTTTAAAAGCTGAGCTGTGTTGATAGCGGTGTTGCTGTTGGACTGAGCAGCTTTGCATATACCTGGCATATTGCTGCTTTGTGTTCTGCAGGTCAAAAGCAAATATTAATACAAACTGTATGCCCGCAGTTCAGATTGCTCAATAAACACATGAAAAAATTTAACACAGCAGTAAAATCCTGCATGAGTATCTGTTCAGATTTTTGCTAAGTCCAGCAAGCCTAAATTGCACAGGCTGTAGTGCACGCCTGAACCTTAAGCAGAAAAGTGAGTCAGTCATTTATGTGGTTAAAACCAGCGTTGGCAGTCTCAGTGGTGAGGGAGCCAGTATTTGACAGGGGCGTTGCAGTTTTAACATCTAAAGACTTATTTTTCTCACAGCAGCATCATTTTACATCCTGTGTAAACTGCATGCACATCTCTAGTAGTAACCCAGAAAAAGCTGTATAAATAATTAAAAACAGGTATGTTAGGGTATCTTTAATACAATGAAATACACATGTAGAGGAAATGCTACAAAGCACCTCTTCTAAAAGTATTATCCTTCTTTTGTGTAGCTGGTGATAAGCACCGTTCGACACAAATAGACACAGCTGGAATTATAGCTAAATAGTTTTATTCTTCACAGTTGTTTACACAATCAAGTTTTTTGTGGGCCGTGATAAGGTGCACGGATATCCAGCCGTCTTTGCCTAGTTAATGTGTACGGACCGCACACTGGCTTTGCTCTCGCTGAGTTATTACGCTGAGTGTAATTTGAAACAATTACAAAAACACTGGCCCACTTGTTACAACACTCGTTTTCCCTCACATATACAAACCACAGATTCAATAGCTTTACATGTTTTTCAATCACACCCAATGGAGCAGTGTTCAGTCTGAAAAAGTATAGCATTTCATCCTAGCTCGCATGGTATGGGATAATCTTTCACATTTTGCCTGGGGTTTGTTTTGCTATTTCAGCAGAAACTTGTGCAAGCTATGTGAATTACCATAGAGGGGAAAAAAGATAAAAATACCAAATGATATTGTATCAGATGTAAATGAATAAACAATTTGAATAATAAGCTTCAATTATCTGTGATAATAAATGATATTTACTGTCCTTTATTCTCTGAGATGCATTGCAGAGATAAGAGTTTTAAACACACAAGCAGATGATAAGGCACATTTTAAGTTCTAGATTTAAAGTTTCTTTTTATGTGCAGTTCAGAACCATATAGCATGAGATTCATTTGATTTGTTTTGACACAGTTCTCACCGTGTTTTCACACTTTTCCGTTGTGCAGGCCTTGCCACTGTTGAGGAGATCAGGGTCAGATTTTGCATTTTGGGGAGATGGACACCTTTGGCAGTGTGAGTACAGTTTCACTTTTGGCCTTCACAGCAGCATAGCTGAGCACAAGGAGGTCAGGCCTTGTACCTCCATCTCTCTCTCCCTCTCTAAAGGTGCTGGTGCAGTCTGACCATTGACATTTAGCATTCCTCTGCACTGCCTCTGGGTTCTCAATGGGGGATTGAGGGGTGCAGTGCCTGGTTCTCAAGGGTAAAAACAAAAAGGCTCTTCAAAATCCCAAGGAGTTCCCACGATCCCAGGAAAGACCTTGATCCGACCTGTGTTAGATTTCCATTCCGCAGATCAGGGCACACAAAAAGTACACATTTGGCTGATTTATTTTGCACTGGATTTTGGAAAATTAACTGTAATGTTTACCTTCACTAGCAATACAATTTTGGCATGATAATTTTGCATCACTGAGAACTGGCAGAAGTTTGGCAGTTCAGTCAAGGAAGATTTTTTTTAAAATAATCATTCAGTATTCATGGTCTTCGCTGACATTTCTTATTCAGTACAGAAGCTTTTAGTGACATTTTATGGTGGAAAGTTTTCAAAGTCATTTTTCAAAGTTTTTTTTCCAGTAACATACATAATCTGTTAGCATCAAAGGAGCACACACGCATAAATAATTGACTAATTCACTTAAAGGGGACCAGCATAGATTAATTAAGCTTGAATACTAATTATGTTTTCTGTTTGCAACAACTGACAAGGTTTTTTGTTTAATAAAAACTGTTTGGTGCGTCAGATTTACCACATATAAGACTGCTCTATAAATTAAGTCAATTTCATATTTTCATGAGGCTAGAATTGATTTTGACGAACACTGGGAGGGAAAAATATAAGATTAATAAATGTTAATCTTATATTTTTGTTATTTGAATAAAGATGCATTGTAGATGTTTTTATTAGCACTATTATTATTTTTTAAAAATTTTGCTGATATGGCCATTTTTGTTATGTTGATAGATAAAAAGGGACTTTATAAACATGAATACAAAATCAGTGGCTGTCATTATGGATTTGTCAAGTCTCATCTTCATCATGTGTCATGTATTTTATTATTTTATCACAATCCCTTATGTTGTATGTTGTCACACATGGTTTTTTATTAAGGCGTGGCTATATCAACCATCAATAATGCATTTATTCAGTACAAGTTCTGATCAGTGCCAATCTAAAGACCACACTGACAGAATCACCTGAGAACAAACACAAACCTGGTGTTATGGATTCATTAGAACTCAAGGAAGAGATAAAATGTGCAGGGTTGTTTATGTATAGCTCTTAAAACTCTTGTCATTTCCAGGAGCTTTCTTGACCTTGACTCCTTTGCTTCCTGCACAAGGTGCTTGTCTGGAAATGGTAGATTTCTGTGAAGATGAGGTTTGCTGTCTACACTCCCCTGGCATGCAGCACACACAGCGTCAGAGGAAGACAGCTCAAAGCTGGGGCCTTGTTTACAGCTGCGTGGGGAAGAAAACAGGCAGACGTAAATGAGGGTTGACGGTTTCATGAAGCACAGTTGGCTGATGGCAGATTCAATGTGACTGGGCTGAACTGGGCGATGATCCATACAGTATGCAAAATTCACTTTCTAGCTGGTCTGTGCCCACCAGCCCCTAGCAGCGAGCGGTCTTCCCCAAGCCCTCCGAGCTATGTCTTTGAATGCCACAAGAACTGAGCAAGGCATTGTTGTGCTCAATTCCTTTTGACAACAATCACATTTAAAAAGGACAGAAAGAAAAAAGTCTTTTTTTTTTTGGTCACCAGCTATAAGAAATTCTTCTCTCATGTTGACTGCAAAGTAAGCATTTTGTGTGTGTGCTGCACAGTGAAATGACAGAGAGTGGGAGGGATTAAAGAGGCATGTCTAGATGTCTTCAGATGACAAAAAATATACTCGGCGGCTACTGTATATGCATGTTGCAATATACCCAAATTTTTTGGCACATGACTTTGGCACAGACCCCTACATTGCACATTTTTACATGCAATGTGACAGGCAATTTATAGAAATTTTAGCCTGCACTGAGCCAGTGAGCCAGTGACATCACAGCCATTTCTACTTCCAGACATGCAGTTTATTTCAGGAACCTCACTAAGGATAGAATTCTTGTTTATTGGTTAAGAAAAGTAACATCTGCATGTTCCATCCAGTTATGGCACATTAAACATCAGTCCTTGTATTACAAGGAGCATGCTGTCAGTGTCAGTGGGGTCTAGGGAGTGAGATAAGAATCAGGCATTTGTCTTAGCTATCTAGACAAGGAGGCTCACATGGCGCTGTGTGGATTAGATTTTTACTGACAATGACCCAAAGTGCGAGGCCTGGGGTGTATGTACTGTACTCCTTCTGTGTACTTTCCTTTGTGTGTTTACTAAGTTTTTTTTTATTTTTCTTCTGTTTTTTCTTTTTTACTGAAATTACAGCAAGAACACATTCATACAGTAGTAATCAGAAGACTTATTACCATTTGCAGGACATGGACTTCATTAACTTTACATAGAGAGAAACATGTGCACTGTAGAAATAAAGAACAAAGTTGTGCCCAGAGGAAATCTGCTATGAACTGATTTAGAAATGACAAAAGTGAAAGAATAAAAGGGCAATATAAAACTTTTAAAGAAAAAAATCTCAAGTGATATTCTTAAAATTTTATGACGGATGTTACATGGTAGTGTCAGTATTATATGAATGTATTAAAGGCAGTTATAGGCTACATTATGAGAAAAAATGAAATTCTAGATTATTCTGGGCAGCAAGATGGGTGATAAACAAAATACATTTGTTTGGCCTAAAATAAAAGTTAATGGGATTTTTCATTTGATTTTCTTTCCATTGCCTTTAGTCCCAAGGGCAAGCACAGGGATTTCAGAAATAAAGGAATGTTATCCTTTTTCTGTGTTCTAATTTAATGATTAATTACAGTAACAAGCAACTTCCATGGCATGGGATGTTAAACAACAGTGTTACAGTATCAAGCAAATATAGAAATTACTGTAGAGGGACATTATTTCACATGAATTTATTAAGGTTTTCAGAATCGGCTGCGAGGTTCCAATAACAGCCAAAATTTTAATTTCAAATAATAAATGCAAATGTCATGTAGTTTATTTAAATGACTGCTTTAGTTTACAACATAATGTTGTAAAGTGCCCTGTTATAATACAAAACAAATGGTGATTGTGTGATTTTTTTATCTGCAATATTACCTGATTCATTTTGCCATAATTGTTTCTCAATTTGCATGTTGTATATGTGTTTAAGCAATATTGATAAAAGAAAAGACATGGCAACGATCATTACAGCTTCTCTATTTGCTAGTCTCATACTGCACAGTGTTTGAGATCCACCACCCCCCCAAAAAAACTGATTGGTACCCAGTCAAAAAGAAAATGGTTTTTAAATAAGTTACAATTAGATAAGCATTAATCTCAGTGGTATAAATGGATGTCTTGCTGTAGGGCTTGTTGAATGTAAAAACAGATTTACAAAAACTCCTCTTACCAGATTGGTCTGGAAGTAGTCCTCCTCTATTTTAATTGCTCCATCATTTAGAGATGAAATAAGCCC